AGACGGCATCTCTCATATTTATTGATCAAATGGTTGTTAACAACAATAAAATTCTGTATAGGGGACTCAATGCACAATCATTAATCAACCCCAAGCCTAATTCTCAACAGTCTCCAAACTTCCGAAGCATAACGAACAAGTTCTTACATGGTGAACAAATTCTTACATAGTGAATAAGTTCTTACATGGTGAACAGCGCAAGGGCAGTCATCACAGAAACTTCCGGTTTTGATCACGCATTATGAACTATAACCAATCAGGTTAAATATGAATATTCGTCTGATTTTTATACTTGATTTATATGTGAATCCCACATTTCTCCCTTATTATTATTATTATTATTTATTATTATTATTATGTCTAATAAAATGCTGAAGTGGTAGGTAGATGCAAGATAAAGGTAGAAAACATTTCAGTACTGTAAGAGGGCAAATGTAGATGATCAGGTGTGTGCCTACAAACTAAGTATTAATCCAAGGTAGACAAGGGCAACAAAACACCCACGGATTCTGCCAGCCTTTTTTAAAAATTTTTTTTAATTTTAATTTTCTGACTCTTGGAGGAAGCTGCCATCAGTGAGATTTTAGCTGCTGTTTACTTATCCTCCAGGTGAAGTTGGTAATCTTAGATTATCAAGATTCAGATTAAAAGCTGGAGTTGTGGAACATACAGATTCTAGGCCTCACACTAGGAAACTGAATTAGAATAACCACCAACAGGCCCTGCGAACCTGATTCTTGTAAAGCTGCCTCAGAAATGCTGAGGGTGGCTGTTTCAGGAGCTGCTGGACAGGCGGACCTCTGATGCTCGTCACAACTGCAACAGCCTCTGGTTAGGTTAATTCTGAAAACTGGGTCCCCCCGATTTAGGGCTTGGAAGATGAAAAGGAGGCCTCTGAGAATGAAACGGACATGGAGGACCCCAGAGAGGTCCAGGCTGATTCCTGGCGTAAGAGGAGAGCAAGCGAGGAGCCCTCACCGCCTCAGTCCCTTTGCCATCTGGTGCCCCCAGCCCCGGGGCCCGAGCGGTCCGGCTGCGAGACCCCCGTCAGCGTGGACTCCATTCCCCTGGAGTGGGATCACACAGGTGACGTGGGGGGCTCCTCCTCTCACGAAGATGACGAGGAAGGCCCCTACTACAGCGCGCTGTCAGGTAACGCTCCGGTTTCCAGGGCCCTGTGTTTTAGCACCTTAGCCACACGGCCAGCCCCCTGACCGAGCCAGACTTCCTGAGGCCTCTTGTGCTGTTTTGTGCACTGTGGTCTACCTGAGAGTTGGCTCACCCTGATCATAGGTAGAATAAAAGGAACAAAATTCACCTTGGGACATTAAGGTTGTTCCCTGATGGCTCCTGGCTGTTTGAGAGGCTCACCAGTGAACTTCTCAATGGAGCTTTTCAGATATTAGGAGATGGAGTGCCTCCATTCTGTCTATGAACTTCCTTTCCCACTGCTGCTGCAGACAGTCAGAAATTGGCTGAAAAAATCCTGGTTTTTCAAAACTTTTTAAAAAAACAGAGAAAGGGTAGTTACTTTTCTCCTCCCAGCTGACAATGTTTCTACTGTTTTAACTTAATACTTGGGCATTCATCTACAGATGCCTGCAGTGAGGAAAATGACATTATTGTTTTTCAGATGTAGAAATCCCTGAAAATCCTGAGGCATATCTTAAAATGACCACAAAAACTTTGAAAGCGTCTTCTGGTAGGCCCCCGCCCGTGCATGTGTCTCAACATGGCAGCATCCTGTGGCACACACTGCATCCTAAACCTCGCTCCCGCATCATGTCTGACCTCTGCCTTCTGTGGACACCATGCGCCTCGGTCCTTGTGTTATGGTGTATTCACACTGCTGTACTCACACGTACCTGCGCGCTCCTTACAAAACCCTGCCCGGACGAGAGCGAGCTCCACACCATCCCTCTCCTGCCCCTCAGGCCTGTGCAGAAGGAATTTTTCATGGTGCCTGTTGTAATTTTTTTATTTTTCCCTCCATCTAACTGAAGGCCTTTGGCATGGGCCAAGCTTTCTTCAGGGTGGCTTGGTTTGGAACTATTTCCTTGCTTTTGGGAGTTTTCTGGGGAGAGCAAGGTGGATGGGGATAGAAGTACTGCTGCATTTGTCACAGAAGAAACCTTCCTTTCCCTGACTTGCAGCTCTGATCTTTGTTCCCTCCCCTACCCCATCTGCAGTGGTGGCAGAGCCACAAGTGGTCCTTTGGTCCCCAAGTCCATCCTGATGTTCACTCCACCACTCACTCCTCTCCTCTTGGCCCCCAGACCCAGCCTTGCTGCCAGTGTTCCCACCACTAGAAATCTTCCTGGCTCTAAAATGCCACTCATCCCGCAGAAAATCACATTTGTTGTGCTCCATTGTAAACCCACCTAGTGAAGGCACAAACCCATCTCAGCTGCATGACTCTCATTTCATTCCCTGCTGGGACATACTGACATTTTGCAAACGTGCATGCTTTGCAAGGAAAGCTGCAGAATTCATGTTATACTATAATCTGATGCCATGTTACCCATGACCTTCTCTGTGTAACTAAACACGAACCCTTTGGTTGGAGAGAGTGGACCATCACTTGGGTTTTTTCTTGTTTCAGGTAAATCCATTTCTGAGGGCCACGCTTGGCATGTTCCTGATAGCCCCTCCTGTCCCAAGCATCACTACAAACAAATGGGAGGTGATAGGATTGTACAGCCTATCCCTTCAGATTCCAGCACTCCTTATAAACCAGCCTGTGTAAGTCTTGACCCTCCCCCACCCCCCAAGAATGTGATGCAAGTGCATGAGTAATAGAATTTTCTCAAAAAGATTTGGATGTATACTGCCTGTGCTCACACCACAGGCATGTCTTGAGTTGGTTTTCCCTATGGTGACAATCTGTCTGCTGAGGTGTTCATTAAAGCCCTGGCAGAGCTAACTGGCCTTAGAGGTTTCCGGCCAGAGGTCATCTCTGTGTGTATTGACATGGTATGACAGCGAATTTTACTGTTGAATCAGTCATCCATGCAGTGGTACAGTGAGGTGCTGGCCTTCCTGAGTTGTTGAACCTTCCAGACCAGAGACTTGGCAGTGTGCTGCGGTACATGGGTTGGGTTCCAAGCCCTACTCATTAATTGCTCTGGGGCAGTAAGCATTTTGCCCTGCCTCTGTAAGCCTTCTCACCTTCCGTAATTGTTATTAGGATTAATGTGTATGCAGGTATAAAGTAGGCCCTCAGAAGTGGTCCCCTCTGTCGTCATTTTTCTTGTTACTACAACTATATGTGGTTTATTGTTGATGTGGTTCATAATGGTGACTGTACCTTAGTGACATTTTCCTCAGGTCATATGAGTCCTTGGCCTGCTCTGTTGGGGAGCAGCCAGCCTAGGATTTAATGTGGCCCCAGATCTTTCTTGGTACAGAGAATTAGTGATGAGCAAGTTAAAATTAAAATGTCCTGTGCATTTTCAGTGTATCGTCTTTTAGAGAAACCAGAAGCACCTAAGCGTCGCTGGGTTACTCCTCAAAGTGCCCTTGGTCTGGGAGTGAATACTGCCAGGTAACTGGAAAAGGTTCTGTCTGTACATGTACAGACCCAGATCATTTGCCAGCAGGCTTATTCATGCCCAGTTCCTAAACTCGTCTTCTTAGCAAGCGGTTGTCAGGTGTAATCTGTCCCTGTGGTGCAGGAGACCACCTGCCAGTCCCTGGGAGAGAGACCCGGCCCCTTCCTTGGCTTTACGTCCAGGGCTGTGTGGCCCCACCTCTCCCAGTGGCTGTGCTTGGGCTCCTCACCTGCTCAGTTTCAAAAGTGCCACCCTTTTTGTGTGTCTGAAACCAGGTGTATCCCCATAAATCAGAAGGGTTTGTTTTTTTTACTGCACACAAATAGGCTATATGGACACAATCCAGAGAAAAGCATGGCTTTTCTAAACAGAATACAGCTATTTTTGGGAAAGTCTGAGGTAATATGGAAGAGTCAGTATATGTAGCAAAAGATAAATGCTTTCTAACAAATGACCCCAGGAGGTGGATTTGTCCTCTTTGTTCCTGATTCTTGGTGGTGATAATACCAACCAGCTGTAATGGGTGACAGGCAGGGACAATTAAAATTTTGTAAAACACTGCAAGTGGAAAAGTGTGAACATGACAGCAGTCCAGTTGTTTGCAACTCTTCTTGGATGGTTCATTTGAGGAGTGTGAGGAAGCCGCCTCAAATTACATTGGGCCATTTTGTTCCCAGTGTTGACATCTAGCCTTCCTGGGCCTCTGCTGAGGCTGTATTCCTGCCGTTAGCTCTGCTTGCCTGTGGGTGCTGCCCATGCACTAAAGCGCCTCTGTATCGGGGCAAGTGCCTCAAAGGAAAGCGCCCCCATCTTCATTTCTTCCCTATTGATAAGAAACCAAGATACTCCTCAGACAGCCTTTATAATTTATAGATGGTAACATAAAAATTGGCTTATTCTAGGTAAAGCTGCCATTACCTCCAGGCACTGATGGTGGCAAAGAAGGCCCAGTGGCCTTGAACGGCAGCCCCCAGCCAGCGGACGAGGGGCTGGCCACCCTCACTGGGCAGCAGCCAGGTATGGTTCAAACAGGCAGTGGTGAAGAGGGCAGAGTCTGGATGTGGGGGTTAGTTGGGGCATTTACTTGGAGTTCTTGCTTGAAAGAATGTAAGTTAGGAATTGACCAGCTATATATACTTCACTGAAACTGCTGAGCTTAGCCTATGGCAGCCAGTGCTATTTTAGAGTTAGCTGACTTATATGAACAAATTCCTAGGCGATTCACTTTCAGAACTATTCTGTAAAAACTGACAAAATGAACCTCATATGATGAAGTGCATGTTTTAATGACTTCACGTGCATATAAAGATCAGACATGAGGAGGATGATCAGAGAGTTGTGTGTCTCCTCAGGAGACCAGTTCATTGATGATAAAAATAATTACTCGACAAAGTCTGTCCAAAGGAGAAAGCAGCCTGAAGATGGCATGCACTGCAATGCTGGACCTGGGACCACCGCCCATCCCGGCAGTAGGCTGGGTCTCTCACCCTGCCCGCCCCCCATTCCAGCCTGTGGGGGAGTGCAGTGGCACAGGCCTTGAACTAGAGCAAGGGAAGCGTGCTATCCCACCGTCCAGGGGAAGTGAGAACTGCCGAGCTCTGAGCCTCCTGCAGGGAGCGTCCCCCACAGGTTTTATCGCCCTGACCCTGAGTGAGTTGGAGGCCAAGAAAATTGTTTGCATTATTGCTGCTTTTTTGGGGGCGGCTTTTCATTCCAGGTGCCTTTGACACATGGGAGCTGATTCAAGCACAAGAACTTCACAATAAACTCAGAATAAAACAAAACTTGGAGCAGCTGAACTCTGATATCTGCAACATCACCACTTGGCTGAAAAACACTGAAGCAGAGCTAGAAACATTAAAGATGGCAGAGCCTCCTGCTGATATCCAGGAACTGGACCTCAGAGTGAAGAGACTGAAGGTGAACCGGAGGTGTTGGGGGGCACAAGGAGTCCAGGTGCACATGCCGATGCTGGCTGTGCTGGACAGGCAGGTCACACCTGTTAAAATGGTGTAGGTGGCGGCTTGCAAACAGTGTGTGATAGTGTTCAGTCTCATCCATTTCACTTCTGTAACTGGCAAGGACATGGATACAGAGTTTTGTGTTCATTCAGAAGAATATCTACAAGTGATCCCAAAGCCCAGAGCAGTGCCAGAGAAGTGTGGCTCAGGTTTTGGGTGCTGGGAGGGTCTGACTTCAGTTACTCTAGGCTCTGGAGGTGTTGGCAGGCACTGACAGGCAGCTTAAAAACACCCTTCCAAACTGTGCGCACTGACGACTGCTGGTGGAGTGCTGAGGGTGGGGAGGAGGAATAGCTTGCCTGCTAATGAATTCTGGGGCCCCATCTGGCTACTGTTACACGGTTAGTGATTGTCACCCACCCAGTCGGCCCTCGCCCCACTGGAACTGCCAAGGGAGCAGGAGAGGGCAGTTTGAGGCCTGCACTTTGGGGCACCCTGAGCAAGCATCTGAGCTAAGAAGATCTAGGGCAGGGGTTTGGGGGCATCTGGGCAGCCTTCGCATTTGTAGTATTGTTTTACTTTGTGCATTAATGTATCAAGGTTACCATTCACCCTAAGGAATACTTCTCCTGAGATATTTAGGGGCAAATGCAGAATAACTGTAAACTTTATCTGGAAGACTTTTAATCTGGTCCAGAAATGTTACTAAGCCAACCAGAGCTCCATGGGATCTGGTCGTGCCTCCGAAGGAGTTGGCCAGCCAGGAGATAGGCCTCTGCTCTCAGCCTGGCCAGCCAGCCAAGTTACTGACCTTGTAAGGCAATTCCCTCACCTGATGCTTCCCAGCCAGTCACAAGCAAGGTCGCTCTTGTTTCTGTGGCCACAGCTCAGAGAAGTGTTGGGAAGTTCCGCTCCCCAATGAAGTTCAGAATGGACCCCACATCACTATTTTCAGAGTACTTAACCCATCTCTTCCCTCTGTGGTAGGAGATGTTAAAAGCCTTTGACACTTACAAGGCTTTAGTGGGCTCTGTCAATGTGAGCAGCAAGGATCTCCTGCAGCCTGAGAGCACTGAATCCCGAGAGCTCCAGGGCAGAGTCGGCCAGCTGAGGCTGCGCTGGGACGCAGTGGAGGGTGCGGTGGAGAGCTGGCGCCGGGGTCTGCGGCAGTCGCTCATGCAGTGCCAGGTATGCCTGACCCGCGGCCCAAGCCCACATGGGTGGGGGCGGCAGATATTTTTATCCCTGTCAGGCTGCTTTGGCACAGACAAATGTGGCTTGTGTAGGAAATGTGTGCTTTGCCAACTGTTTCCAAAGAGGCCCACCTGCTGTTTCAGAGGCTTGATGGCTTGCCCCACGTCTTCTGCTCTGTTGCCCAGGCCCTCTCCTGTGTAAGGGTTCCAGGAGTAAGAAATGCCACTCCAGCACTGCCATACAGCAGTGATTGAGAGACCTGCCCTGGGACCAGGAGCAGTTAACCCAGCTCTACAGCTTTTTGGAAGCTGGGTGACTGGGCAAATCACTGAATCTTCTAAACCTCTGTTTGTGATCTGGAAAATGGGAATAATTCCAGAGCCTGACCCACAGGGTTCTTTGTAGGACTCAATGTATGTAATCTTAGCCCAGCACTTGACACATAGTAAATGCTTAGCCCACATTAGGTCTCACCCAATCTTAGGGAACATGAGTCCTCTAGCAAGCCCATCTGTAGCCCTGTCCTTGGGCCACAGCCTGGCCTTTTGGGTTGTATCCCTTAGCTGTTAAATCTATCAGACTTGTTGAATAATTGGTGTGGTCTTCCTATGTAATACTGGGTGGGGAATTCTCAAGCCCAACCTTTCTGTTAGCACTTTTCACTCAGCAAAATTCTCCTGGGAGTGTGCCACTGCACGCTCTCTCCCCCACTTTCTCTTTTCCTTATTTTGGAGCCCTGGCATTTAGTTTAAATCAGGCAATGTTATGATGTGTCTTATTTCTTAAGGACTTTCACCAGTTGAGTCAAAGTCTGCTACTGTGGTTAGCGAGTGCTGAGAGCCGGAGGCAGGAGGCTCATGTCACCAACCCAAAGGCAGACCCCCAGGTTCTCCTGGAGTGTCAGGAAGCACTAATGGTAAGTTCCGTCTAGAGTGGCTATGCATCACCCCAGGTCTCTGTCAGGAGCTCAGTACTCGGGTGTTTCTGGAAACAATGGTACCAGAGTGGTGGGTCTCCTCTCACATTCCAGTTGGTGGCTACTGAGCTGCCCTTTGTGGCTCTGAAAAAGGCTGACTTGCAGGGGTGAAGAGCCACGGCCAAGAGCAGGGAGTCTTCAAGACTCTCTGGAATTGGGGACATGAGTGTTTAGCAATATCCTGAGAAACTTTGGTGTATTCATTTGATTAGAAGTATTTTTTGTGAATATGGCTCACTTAGGGGAAAATATGGTGCTTAGGGAAAAATTACTACACAGACATGATGAGGTATATGCATTTCCTAAATTCACTATAGAAGTCTTAGTTCTTGGAGGGTAGATGTTTTCAACAAACCAAAATGAGACCTATATATTCTCACTTGAACTCAAGGTGACATTTTTATCAATAAGTCTTCATGTGATTCAATTACAAATGTAAAGGTGTTGGTCACTGTTTGGAAAACATTCCTGTGCTAAAATTTTTGTAAAGCCCCACTGTCCCGAGTAGCACTTTCCAGTAGAACTTTCTGTAGTGATGGAACTGTTTGTGGTGGTCTCTCATATTCCAGTTGGTGGAATGTGAGAGGTCCACTGCGATGGCTGCTAGCCATTGGTGGCTTGAAATGTGGCTCCTCTGGCTGACTTTGTAATTTTAATAAATAGCCACATGTTGTCTAGTGGCTACTAGGCACTGTGTTAGACCATGAGCAGGATAACCACCCTTGACTATCCAAGCTGAGTTGGCTGGTACATACCTCTGTGTTTCTAAGTAATACATTAAAGCTACTGTTTTCTCAATTCATTCACATTAGATGTTCCCTGGATGAAGGCGTAGTCTTCACACCACCTTCCTCACTTCTAACACAATTGTCTTCAAAATGAGAAGGAACAGAAAACGGGGGTAGGGTGTAACCCATCTGCTATCTAAACGATGGTAGGCTTGAGAACACAGGTAGATAGGAGAAGTAGAAGGTTCTGGAGTTCAGTACCACCCTTTCATTCATCCTAGAAATTTCTTGGCACTGGGAAGCCTCACTGGCTAGATCAGTGGCCCTCTTGAGAACAACTGTTTTCACACTCTTTTTCACTTTTAGCAATTGGAAAAGGAGCTAGTGGAACATCAGCCTCAAGTAAACTCCTTACAAGAGATTTCAGACAGCCTTCTTATTAAGGGGCATGGAGAAGACTACATTGAGGCTGAAGAGAAGGTGCACGTTATTGAAAAGAAACTCAAACAGTTACTTGAGCAAGTCTCCCAAGACTTAATATCCTTTCAGGGCAGCCAGGTGAGTCCCCTTGTGGCTTTTAAATGTAAAGATGTCATACTGGATGCAAACAGCTCAGTCCTGCAGGCTTGCTGAGGGAGGGAGTCCGTAAGCATGTGGTCTGAGGCTGGAGTCATGCCCCTTTCTAACTGTGTGGCCTTAAAAGTTTACATAAGCTCTTTGAAGCTGTTTTGTCATTCCTAAGAGGGAGATAACACTAGTTCCCACCTATTAGTATGGCTGGGTTATAAAAAACAGGCCTAACCCCTCTATCATTTCTGCCTTGCCTTTACGCTAAACAGACTTGAACGTTTGCTTTTCTCAGGTGACACAGTTTCAGGTCTTCCACAGTGCTGGTCACTGTCTGCTTACTCTCTCGTTCCTCTACCACCTTCTCTTTAAAATGTGAGCCAAGTCAGAACAAACAGATACCCACACCACGGTCTCGCCAGACTGAGGGCAGCCCTCGCCCCTCTGTCCTCAAGGACATCGTTCCTCCTGTGCAGCCACACCGCCGTGGTGGCCGCGTGATCACACTTCCAGGGTGCTTGCTGTCGGCCATTTGTTCCTCCTGCCGCTACTGAGCTCAGTGTCCTCCCATGTGTGCTGTGGATGTTTAATGCAAGGGGCTGGCCTTGCCTTGTTTACATTCCCTCTGTCCTTGTGGAAGAGCTGCCCCTTAGGGAAGGTCTGAGCTGGGGAGGGGTGAACCACACAGTGAAGCAGCTGCACAAAGCCCAGTTTTGTGCCCTTAGGGCTATTCAGAACCTTGTTTCCCTGACCTGAACCCTTGGAGTGTGCATTTCAGAACCCAGACCCATCTCTGCCTGGCTTGGATGAGGCCAACTATGTAGAGCAGCCGCCAGCCTCCTCGCCAGCACCCCAAGCACAGGTGAGCGCCCGTCTGCTGGGAGAACTGGGCTGGTTCTTCATAGTGTTTGAGGTGAGAGGACCTTGGCACTCGGAGGCCCCACCGGACATTCCATGACAGCAGAGATCTGCTTCACCCTGCTGCCGGGGAGAGGCTTACCCCCCAAACAGACAAACACACTTTCAAAGACCTAGCTCAGAGGCCGGCTTCCAGCCAGCGTCGCGGTCAGTTGTGAGACACAGGAGCCCTCCTAGTGTTGGCTTCCTGATCTCTCCATTAACCATAGGTAACCTGGACTGGGTAACTCATTAACAAACCTAATTATTTCTTACGTCAAGGAGTATAATTGCAAATGTATTGCTCTAGTCTCATAAGCTTAGCAGGAAGACAGTCTAAGGCAGGTGTATCATTAAAGAAGGAAGGATGTGTTATCATTGACAGGACTCCACTGCCTTCAGTTTAGCCTTCAGTTTACTGACTGGACTGTTTTTATCCAGCAGTTCGGAGCAGAGAGAACTACAAAAGGCAAGAACCAGACAGACCACAGGTAAGAGCCCTGCCATCCCAGCAGTGAGCTTCCCTGCGCCACACCCCGTACACTCACCCATCTGGCCAATGCCACGATCGAGGCTTTGTAGAACCCCCGTTTTCTAATTTCTTCCATCTGGAAAGGGCTGAGCTTCTCTTCCAAGGCAGAGCCCCAGCTGTTGGCCCCGTTTTAATCTCAGGTCCTGGAGATCCTTTTTACGCAAGCAGGGGCTCAGGTAACATGAGTGGGTTTTGCCTCTGGGAGCTCCTGACCGGCTCCCAACCTGTGTTGGCAGGGTGCCAGGCCCCACCGGTCCCGGCAGCTCGCGGCCACAGCGCTCCTTCCTCTGCCGTGTGGTCCGAGCAGCGCTGCCCCTGCAGCTGCTGCTCCTGCTGCTCCTGCTCCTGGCCTGCCTGCTGCCCTCCTCCGAAGAGGACTACAGCTGCACTCAGGCCAACAACTTCGCCAGGTCCTTCTACCCCATGCTGAGGTACACCAACGGGCCGCCCCCCACATAGAGGGCTCGGCCTGGCCTGTAGCTACACTCTACCAGCCAGTTTACACGGGGCCTGACTCACAGCCCTGGAATGTGGGGGTGACTCATGTGGCCTGATCCAGGCCCCAGCTTGGTCTCCCCCTCTGGGAATGGCCAGAGAGCCTCTCTGGGGACCCAGGGCAACAGTTGCCCCGGGCAGTTTGGTTTCAAGATCTCTGGAAACTACCATTTCCCGAAGAGCCAAGCACTTTGAATTCTGATTTATTTGTAAAACATTATTAAAGAAAACATTATTAAAGTATAGCTAATATGGTCAATGAACAGTAGTGTCCCCACATTAATATATAATATGGAAACGAGCAGTCACATGCCACCTTAGAAATGGGTCAGGAACTCACATGCACCCTTGACTGATTGATTGAAACAATCATATTTCAAATGCTTAGAATTCATTTTACTCCAATCAGCTGGCAATCCTGAGCTACAGGTTAGAAACCAAAATGTTCTGTCAGTACTTAGGTCAGTCCTTTTATATTGCTTTAAATTTTTAAAGAAAGTGTACTGCATGGATGTGGTTATTTGTGCATATTTTTTAACAATTCTCAATCTGTATGAATAATGTAAACTTTGATTTTTTAAAAAAAAATTTTAGCTTGAGCTTTTGACTAATGTACAGAAAATGCCAAACTACAGCCTTGATAGAGATGTTTTTGTAAATGAATTTTGTAAGACTTTTCACAATGAAAGTGATGCTTCAGGTTTTGTTTAACTGTTCGGCTACAGGGGGTCGGTACAGAAACTTGAAGCTGTTTGTGAATGTACAACTCAGATGTTTCTCATTAAATCAAAACAGAAAACCATATTTTTTTGTGTACTGGATTGTATTACAAAGCAGTTTGATGTTACATATAATCTTCCGTAGGACAAAAATTATTTTTAAAATATTTGGGGCTACTTATTGGTTTTAATTCTAAGATAAGCTTCATAATTCTACTCATTAACTTCACATAGAATAATCTGAGACCTAGAAACCCACTAGCTGTGTATGTGGAGAGGCCCCAGTGGGTGACCCTCCAGTACTGTAGGGAGCAGTGAGGGCAGCAGGGCATAGAAGGTGACACACAGGGAAGGATGAGGTCACCCAGAGTGAACAGGTCAGGTTTAACCACTGTTACAGGTGACGGCGCTTTCCAGTAATTCCAATACCACTCTACTTCCCACCTAAACAGAGTCTGATTAAAAGTTACTCAACCAGTTTCTCGGTTAACTGCTCTTACCCTGCATCCTTTGACATTTCTGAGATGCCCCTAACTTAACAGCCATCTCAGTCCCCCACCTCCTCTGCAAAGCACAAACCTCGGAAAGCCAAGGAAGCTTGTCAGTAAATGAAGCCTAGACCTTCAGCACCAGCAGCCCCTCCAGTGGTTCAGACAGCCCCACCATGTGAACAGCTTTATAAAGAGACCAGTTGAAGACCATGTGACTTCGCTTTACCAGATGTTTGGAAGTGATATGGAGAGAAAAGACTTTGAGGTTATATCATTTTAAAAAAGCACCTAAATCTTTGAAATAACCCATCTTTTTTCATAGATTAGAAAATTTTAAGTGAAAGTGTTGCCCCAACTTTTTCATTAAGCTACTTAATTGGTTAGAATGTCCTTCCTCCAATTTCACCAGAGGCAAAAGGCAGAATCTACCTGCTTCTTTTCCTTCCAATCCAGGAGGTGACTAACTGCTCTGGAGAACTTTCCACCCCTTAAGGAGAGAGACACTTGGGGCAAGTCAAAGTTGTCAGTGAAAGGAAAGTGCTATTGGCATTTTAAAGCCGTATTATGCACATCAAGTCTCAAAATACAGGCCTTTGAGTCTTAAGTCTGTACTCCGAGTTTCTATACCACACCCTCAGCTCAGTGTATTCCCAAAGACGAGATAATCTGTTTTATACCTTCAAGAGGTGTTTTGTTTTTGTCTTTTCCTTCAAGAGGTTTTACATCTTCCATTCCCTACATGCAAGGGAAATTTTTCAAATGACTCTTGGCATTGAGAAAACTTCAGTATGAATGAATGACTTTTCTCCCCACTCCTAATGGAGAATACTACTAATTGACTCAGATGGGATAATGATAGAAAATCTAAATAGCTGATGCCCTGCATACCAGGACTTATATATATGTACTTCTTGGCTGCATTTACACAGTGTATATAGTTATAAAACACAAGAGTGAGATTAGTTAATGATTAAATTACTATTTTAAAAGTTTAAAAGTATTTAAAAAGTCTCAGTAGCTTATGTCAGTGATTCTTAACCCTCTTGAAATTGTATGCAAGCATTAGTGCTTATGTACCTTTTTCCAGGAAGAGTGTCCATGGTTTTCATCAAATTCTTAGAGGGTTCTGCCAACCTAAAATAGAATAGAATTCAGAAGAGAATGGGAACACCACTTAGCCTAAGTACTGAACACTCTAATACCCAAATCGCGGCAAATACATTTTTAAAGCCAAAATTATTAAAAACTCTTTATTTAGCTTATGTCACATTAAACTTTTTTCTGTTAAAGTTCTGTAGACATTCAGGGGCACAGCAAAGGAAAAGTAGTACCTGGAAGAATGGAAAGCAGATCTCAGAAATCTCCTTTCACAGAACAGCAAACACTGATTTATGAGAAGGCCTAAATGTAAAAAAGCCTGCTTAATGGTACAAAGCATTTCATCTGAAAAATGACCAGTTACAGCCCACCAGCAGTGAGGTACACAGGATGACTGCGCGGTGAAGTGACAAGACCACTAGTCGTGGCATTTAAACACCCCGCACAGGAAAGCAAATGCAGTGGCATAAATTTTGCAGTGAATAAGAGCTGTGCTGGGCCAGCACTAGCAGGCCCACTGTCACATGATGGACCGGCCGCACAAGTGAATAGGATCCTTGACTCCAAAGCAACAAAAAAGGTTGTAAGAAAGATCACATATCACAGAGACAACACATATCTTAGAGCTGCCACTGGAGCCGAAATGCCAGCAACTCTGAGAGCTAAGAATAAATGGCATATGTTTCACACTAGAGTATACCGAACTCCACAGGGAAGCATCAGTGCCTACAAGGCGCGAGAATTTCACATAGATAAATTTCCAAGGAACGGACTCCACTTCAGTGAATCTGGGAAAACAACAATAGACAGGAGGAGGTGGCCATACTGCCCGTGAGGTTATAAGCCAAGATGGGAGGACAAGAATCATACCATCTTATTTTTTTCCACCTGTTCTGTAAAGTTTCATCTAAGCTGAGAAGGTAGGGTTTAAAGGTACGGAAGGCAAACATACCTCAGCCTTCTCTCTGATGCACTGAGACGTGACCCATACAGCAGACTGTACAGAAGCAAGTCCTATAGCAGGAACGATGCTGGCCAGGCAGGCAGAAGACCTGAATTCCTGTCCAAGCTTTGCCTTAAGTAGTTTTATGACCTTGAGCAGGTCAGTTTATTCCTTGGGGCTTTCATTTACACACGTATAAAAGATGGTACTGAACCACTATGTCAGGGTTGCGAGCTGTTAATGTGTCTACAGGGGTATTCTGGAATTTGGTTGGACCCCACTGAACCCCAAGCAGTCCTGCATGGTAGGTTGCATTTCATGAATGGATTCTGCAGTCAGAAATTTTTTTTTTTTTTTAACCAAATTGCATGATTCCTTTCAACACTGGAACTTCAACTGCCTGCACCTGGCTCTGTCACACACACACTCCCCATGTGACCTTGAGCAAGTTTGCTTATTACACTCTCCAGTCTCCACAGCCAGAAAATTTGGATAACAGTAATTATTATGAGGTTTAACATAAATGTAGGAGGCACTGAGAACTGTCTGGACACAGTAAGTGTTCCACAGTTATTTTTAGGTGCTAAATGGTATATTCTTACCACTTCCTTTACATAATCCTTAGTATATATACGTCAAGTACTTCTTAGCAGCTTAAATCAGATTTCCAAATAGGCCTAGAAACTGAAGAGTCACCTTGAATTTGAAAAGGTATCAATACCTGAAAGCCCCTTAGCAGATTTAAATGAAAACCAAACAGTTTCACATGGTAGGAAATTCTAGAATTTCTTCAATTTAGCTTATATTACATATGAATACATAACATAGCTCTGCCAAGAACTGGTAACTGATGTTTACTGAAATTTAAAATACTTGCCCTTCTGGCTGAATTAGCAAGTGAAATAATCCAGAAAAAGATTCGCTGCAGAACTTTGATCTTGCATTGTGTTTTGTTTTTAGTAGAGTTAATACTCCCTAGATTTGTTATTAGGCTGACAATTTAGTCTTCTGTTCCCACCTCAGTTTTTCAAGAGAAGTGTTCTCAAAAATTACAGTTAGTATCAGTGGACAGTGAGCATGTGACAGGCGAAGAGGATGCAGGTAGAAAGATGTAAAAACCCCAGTGCAGTTCTGCTGGGATTACCCACATGGGTCCTTCTCAGGGACCACCAGGAACCTGAGTGAACAATGTTCTACTGTTCTCTGTGTTAGGAATAGTCCGTATTAAATAATTAAAATTAGTCTATATGGTCCCCCATTAGACACTCATATTTTTGGAATTTAATCCCAAATTCCCTTATCTCCCACAAATAAGTTTCTCATACAAAATGATCACTTACAAATCAAAATGGAAGGCCAGGCATCTTGCCACATGAGTCTCAGACAAAGCTGAGGCTCACTGCTCTGTAATGTATAAATTAGTTGGTTTGGTTTTTTTTTTTTGCGATTCTCAATTCCTGTTTATAGTTGTCAGGTCCTATTCCTCCCCCCATTTAGGTCCTTTTGAAAACTGAAAATCCTTGCTTAGCTATGGGAGAACTTGAGGGTGCCCATGGATCATTGGGGGAAGGGTGGATACCCCCAAAAAAGAAAGCACTATTATAAACAACTAATCTTTAAAATGGACATTGAGGATTTACACAAAACACAAAAAACAGCAGCCTGACTTTACATACTAGTGCCATCCTTAGAGGACAGATCTGAAGCAGATAGAACCAGTGACTCAAAACACTTCATTGGACAGGGGAAAGGTCCCAAGAATATCCAAAACAAAACAAAGACACCTTTAAACTATAGACTGTATTATCTCAACTGCCTGCTTGCCCAGACCCCAGTCTAATAAAAGAGAGCCTTGCACCAAGAAGGCTTCTTAGGTTGGACTGACTAACCTGTATTCCCAGCATACCCAGGGGAGACCTGAGCCAAGAAGGAATTACCAAAAGCATTACATCCTCATGGGCTAAGTCCAAATGCAGTGAAACAAGTGGCCTCAGGAACATGCAGGAGTATCTGGAAAATGAGTAGTGAGCATCAGATGAGCTTCCCTAAGAAAACATGCTAGTCTGGGTAAGCACAGGATTTGGCATAGGATGGGGATTTGGGCACCTGAGTCCCGCTTGGGCGTCAAATTCCAACCTAAAAACCTTCCCTCCGTTGTATACTAATCTGGCAGTGACTTGGACCTCATTCTTCTTTTTGCTGTTTTTCGTTTTGTTTTTTTAAACCCAGTAGTCTCATAAATACAATTAGAATTTCATCAGCAAATAATTGTTCAAGGCTGCCTTTTTCTGCCACCCTCTTCCCATTCTCTAGCCTCCATCCCCTCTATTTGTTGTGGGGGATTCTTAGCTGGCCGGAAAGAACCTAATTGACCTGGGTAACACTAGTTCCATAGTTCCCTGGTTCCTATACAATCAACCTCATGTTTTCTGTATTGAATCTCATCAGGCTACAACACTGAGTCACTGAAAATAATTTCAAGCCTCAAATACAGATATGCCAGCATGTTCTCTAGGTATGTGTCCAAGTGTTTCTGAGACAGCTTCATTCAACTTTTAGTAAAATTGCACCAATATCAAAGTTAAGAATTACTCAAGGTCTCACTAGCAGAAACCAAGCTTTATAATGTTGAATTTAATCTTCAAGTGACTCAGTGAGTACAGAATGTGTTAGCCAAAGAAAACCTATTTTCAAAAAGAAAATGTGCTTAATCTCCTATCACAAGGCAGTTTTTAAAACATCACAAAAATCCATTATTATTTAACTACTCACTTCCAAAGTATAGATGTAACTCATTTTACTATGTTCCAGAAAATTTGTGCAAAAATTTAAATTCTTAAAAAGCAAGTTAAAATTGTAATTTCAGGGGTGTTTTTATCAACCTGTCCTATTTGTTTTCCACCTGAAGTAAAAATATTTTAGTAAGTTTCTGTATCACCCAGCTCATCATATAAATGTTCTGATAAGAAAATAGTTTAAAAGAGTACTCATGTATAAAAGATTTCTTTCTTGCTCTGAATACCCCTAAATATTTCTCTTCTTTAAGTAGAGTTAGCAAACCAAGTCTGGTTCAAGTGATATGCTCATCAAGTCTACAGTTTGGCCCTGAACCTGCCACACTGGTATGTGTATAGCCATTCACCCTTCCACAGAAGTTCGTGCCTTGCACACACAGCCTGACATGTCCCTGTCTCCTCTGGATGGCCAAGTCAGCTGGGCCTTTCTCTAGCACACACCAGGCCCCACGGGGAGAGTTTCAAAGAAGGTCAATTCCAGGGGCATGGAGACTGAAATCTCCACCATCTTCCATGAAAGTTGTCACACACATGCGTACACACACACAAACAATTCCTAGGCTCTGTGAATTGCACCTGTGTGCAAATGGCAGCAGAGTCGGAGGGAGGGGGGAGAACATGGCTCGCATCCCAGCTTGACCACTGGCTCCCTAGGTCACAATCCCTCCAGCCTTTGACAGAGTAATAGCAATAGGTGACAGTCCTCACAAGACTGTGAGGTAAGTATGTAAGATTAGTTTGCTGATTGTCATTGTGGTTTTTGATGGTACAGTCAAGTGGTCCAGAAGAGAGCATAACAAAGCTCATTCATTCTAAGGGCAGGTTGGGGTAGAGGCTATCCCATTCCCCATAGATGTCTGCGTTCTCTTCTTCCCTTTCTACTTCACAATATTCCCAAGTCAGATTTTCACCATTTGTTCCAAAACCTTTAAGATGTTTTCCAAAGGGGTGATAGGAAGATGGAAAGTAAGAAGGGGACCACACTGAGATCCTATGAGGCCAAACTCAATGAAGACAAATGCTACATTCAAGTGTTCCCCCTGTTAACAAGGAAAACTGGCATTCTCAGACTCCTGGGAAGTGAGGAGGTTGGGGGACGGATGGTATGTGACAGAGCCAGCTGTACCAAACAAGGGTCCCCACAGCAGGAACACAGTAATGACGTCCACCCACCCTCAATGGGGCTCACAGTTCATGCTGGAGTTCACGCTTCAGCCTCTGGCTTCCTCTGTGGCCTGTCCACCTCAGGGCTGGGCATCACTGAGACTGGGACTTCTGGAAGCCCTCTCTGCCTCTACTCTCCTGTGCTGGGCTGCACTCGGAACCTGCACCAGAGGGCTTGTACCCTCGAAGTGTGTGGGCATTCAGCATCTCCAGCAGCAGGTCGTAGACTGGGACCACATTTTTGCACTTCATGCTGAGCAGGTGTTCCATACCCTTGTTACTATGAGGACAAAAAGATGCTGTGATGTTTGTTCCCTGCTGTGTGGCAGCCACAGCAACTTTGAAATCTTCCTCAACAGAGCTGGTCCACCCCCACCCAACTTCCTCTAGCCCTTTATTCTATGGTTCTTGCGTCTGGCTCCTTCAATAATCTAGATGTAAAGGCAAAGATAATGTCAGGTGGAACTTTGTGCCCCACCACCCACCTCCCATGGCCTGCCAGCAGCCGGCACAGAGTGCAATCGATTGTCATTGTTCACAGTAGTTCCATCTGTGTCGTCACTAACACTGAGCTAATGCATACTGACCCACCGCTGCTGTGAGTAGTACTGGGTTAGGTTCCTGAGAGCCTCAGCTCCCAGCATTTTCAGCAGCCAGTTAATACATAACCTCATTTTATTGTGTTTTTGCATAAAGACATCTTTAACATCTATTACTGATTCATGAACATTTAACCTAGCCTGTAGCACCAGAGCTTGTGCTTGAGTGGAGCTGATCTAACATACATTGATTCCCCATCGCAGCTTTCTGCACTTAGGAACACTAGACAGCCCTTCAGCACCATGCTTGGGGACCACTTTTAGATGGTGAAATCTCCAACAAAGCACAAAAAAGCAAAAACATGGCACTAAATAGACCTCATAAGAACACTTGTTTATGAGGACTGAAACAAGACTGGGAGTGTAAGCATGGGCAACTCAAAAAATTTTTGCCACACTGCATGTCCTCAAATGAACAAGAAATCATGAGTATGGATTTAAGGGTTACACATAAATTATAGCAAGAAGGCAAGTTTTCAGATATGGAATCAGTGAATAATGAGGAGACTGTATCTGTTCTGCAAAATGGTTGTGTACTGAATAATCATAAAAAAGGAAACAGGGAGGCAGAAGTTTTCATTTTCTCCCCCTTGTTAAAATTCTTCAGGTGTTTGTGGTCCCTTCCCCACAGCCATTAGATGTTCCTCCTCCTCAGGGGAGCAATTACCTTCCATCCTCATCTCCCCTCTGCCAGCCCCAGGGCACGGCTACCCTCAACCTGGGTGCACCAAGCACTGAGCCTCACTGCAGCAGCACGAAGCCATCACCCTACACCCCTCCCCCTTCACGAGCACACACAACCTCCCTTTCCTGAATATACTAGACTCACGGCCCTGCCTTCCTAAACCTGCTGAGCGCACCAGTTCTTTTAGGTCCCATTCTTTATATCCTGATGCTGTCAAAGAAAAGAGCTACTCTCAAGGTAGGCTTTGTGTACTTCCAAATCACCAGCCTCAATTGTCCATCTACAGGAGCTAGGCTTCGCCTCCCTCCTCAAGGCCCCAGCTCCAGGTGTTGTAGGGAGGACTGGCAGTTCACTTAGGGGAGAAATTACCCCTTTTAGGGTTCCATAAACAAGCTAAAACCCTAACAAGTAAAAAAACAGATGAAAGATGCCAAAAATAGCCTATGAAGTGCCACATGGCATTCAGTGCCCACTATGGGCCAATCTGGTTACAGGTGTACTTATGGCTCCCATTCCCTTCCAGGGGTTCATTTTCCTTTAAAGGTAACATTTCTACCTTACCCGTCTCAAACCTGCACATGCTTTTCCCACAGCTCTTCCTCCTCAGCATGTGCACCTACAGCCACCACCACCACCACCACCACCACCATGCTAGTGGGGCGGCCCCCACAGGGACTGTACCTGGCATGCCTGACATGAGAAAGGAGCATCAGGAGGTTAGCCAGGCGAATGGACTGCTGCTGGGAGGAAATGCCACTCTTGGCAATCACCCAGACCAGGGCATCGGTCACAGCGTTCAGCAAGTGAGTCAGCTTCTGGCTGCTCTCGGCCCCCTGGGTTGCTGCAGCAAAGGGGTACATACCTGAACAAAGAATAAAAGCTATGAGTCATTGCTCTGAGAAAAGGAAATGGAGGTTGTGTTCAGCTGTTAAGCATGGCTATGTTCTCCAGAAAGGAGGTTAAACTGATCTGGCTTATAATGACATCTGCATGTGTGGCAAAACCCTAAAACCATATCTTCACCTGCCTAGGTGTCCTTCCCCACCCCCCTCACCCCTCAAGAGACAGCCCCATCCCTGAGCTGGAAGGGAAAGCCTGGGTGAATGCAGGCAGACCAAATGGGCTCTCAAAGGGCCACCTGGCCCAGAACTGTGGCCTTCCCATAGCAGTAAATGTATCTAATGGCCTCAAACCATTACGTGGTGTTTCTCAGCTGCAGCAACTAACAGACATATGAAAATGGTCAGAAAGTGAGGTGAATCTATTCGTAGTCCCTAGGAGGGCCCCTTATCTAAGAGGAGATTAATAAACATTAATGACCACTGTTATGCAGCCCCCACCCCACCCAGCCCCTGTGTGTGCCCTGTACAGTCACAGGGTGCCCACTGCCACCTCTGTCCAGTCCCTCCACATCCCTGTGGTGACACCTTGCTGGGGCAGGAAGACCGTCTCTAGCTCTCTGTTCCTGAACCAGTTTCCCAGCTTCTCACTGAGCTCTGCTTGCAGTCATGTCTCCTGAGGTCCCCACGGCCACCCCATGAGGTGGGTTGCTTCTCCCATCCTGCCCTGCCCTGTTTTACTCCCCTCTGAGTCTGGATCTGAGACACTGTAACTTCCTAATGGTTGCAGATAACAGCTCAGGTACATCTCCTTGTCCCCCGCACCAACCTTGATTCCTTGATCCCTAGAAAGAGGGAAACAATTAGCTTCTCTTTCAGGTTTTCAATTTCAAAGAGTAAATATCAAATATCTGAAATCAAATAGGGAGCTGCCAATTTTTGACTAACAAGAATGATGCCTGGCACTCCATCATTTACAGAATTTGTTTTGGCAATTTTTATTCTCTATTTTTAGTGGCATTTTCAATTTGACAGAGTTCAATTAAGGCAGAGGACATACTGAACCACAATTATGCAGGTGTACTGCTTCACCATATCCCCAGAGGCACATCCCTGATGTCTGATGATGCAATTTAAAATATTCATTTTTTTACAATAGCCCAAAGCTGCTTCTCTAATCTACCTGCTCACCTCAGTCTCCACAGTGGCGCTTCCTGAGTCCTCACACATCCTCAAACCTCCTACTGAAACCCACAGCAGATGACCTGCCCTCCACTGCAGAGGAAACAAGCCCAACCCTCAGCCCAGGGTGCCCTGTTTGAGGGTCAACATGCAAATCCTGTGGCTCCCCCTTTAATGACTTACCAGCTCTTGGGGCAGAGTCCAAACCGCATGGTACAGCTATCAAGGGTTCCAGACCTCTCTCTGCTCTTCTCATCCTAAGTTCCCACCACATCTTACCTTGAACTCTACTTTCAGTTCCTTGAATGGGTGATACACTGAACATACTTAAATCTCCTAGGAACTCTCTCCTCCCCCCGACCCTGCTCCTCCCACCTCTTCCCCACTCTCCCCTTTCCTTCTTATCTACATCCATTCTTCCTTTAGATCCCAGCCTGGTTATGAACTTCCTTCTGGATGCTCCCGTACCATTCCACTCTAAGTCTGGTTTGGACTCTGAAGCTCCGAGATGCCCTGTGTACCCCCTCACTATGTTGTCCCAAGTCCTGAATGTGCTCAGACATGCCCCATGGCCACCTTCAGAGAGGCTGGTTATAAGAGCTTTAAGAGCACAGAGCCTGTCTGTCTGTCATTATATCCTCATAACTTAGTGCTATGATTAGCATGGAGTAAATACTCACAAAAAGAAGAATTAGACTGAGTTCACATAGGTTCAGATTTTTGTATTTTTTTCACCCAATCATGATAATTGAAATGATAAATGTGCACATTAATGTATATTTTAGGTACACACACAGAAATTATTTATCAAAGGAAAATAAGGAGAAAATTATTTGAAATTTACTTTCTTTAAATTGGCCCCAGCTGCATTAACAAGAGCTGTTTTGCTACATGAATTGTGCTCCATGAATTTCTACTGCCATAATAAACAAATGTCTTTGGATTCTAAAAGGAGTTAAAATTGTATTGTTGTATATGTGTCAGTCCAAAGTGACAAAAATTGAAAAAATAAAAACAAATATTCAGCTAGTATACAAATGTTCTTAGCAACATTACTCATAATAGCCTAAAAATGGAAATAAACTAAATGTATCACCTAGTAAGTCAATAAACAAGATATGATTTAACTACGCAATGGAGTATTACTCAACTATAAAAAGGAATGAAACATGATTAATGCTATAGCATGGATGAACTTTGAAAGCATGCTAAGTGAAAACAGTCAGGAGAGATAGGAAAAAGATGGCGATGTGAGAAGTAAGGCAGAAACCTCCTCCCAAAACCACATATAACACAAAAATACAGGAAATACAACTAATCCTGAAAGAATGACCCAAAGACTGAAAAACAGACTGCCTACATCTGAGGAAAGAGAAGACCTCACAGAAAAAGGTAAAGTAGCAAAGCCATGATCCAGCAGGACTCAAGACCTCCCTCCACCCTAGACCACAGGTGTGGGGAAAAGAAATGGAGCAGGAAGAGAGTAGAAGTCCAGGACTGCTAAACACTCAGCCCTGGAGATCTGCCCTAGGAGCATGAACCCACATTACATAGTGCTCTGGAGATTATGGGATTGGAAAGCAAAGACAGATAGAATACATGGAGAGACTAAGATTCCAGCCACTTGTGGAGAACAGGTGTGCACAACTGGCCACTCTGGAACAAAAGAAAGGTGGGCACTTTGAAAGACTTCCTAACAGAGAGAGGGGTGTTAAAGAGCCAAAGATTACTGTAACTTGCTGCTCAGGAGAAAGGACAGGTAGACAAAATCATTCCAGCACACAGTCTAGCAGGTCAGGAACTTTCAGGAGCTTCAGACGCTCCAGGCCCCTGGCTGGCAATGCAGCCCTGAGGCCCCCCACTGCAGTAGGCAGCCTGCCACTCCTTCCTCCTGACAGGCAACAGTCTGCACACCTGCAGCCCTCGCCATCATGCCAGACCAGCCAGACAGGCCAGCCTATGGCAGCTACAGGGGCATGACACAGAGGCTCCTCCCTGTATGCATGGCCCACTGGACCTGGCAGTGGAGGCAGGCACTGCAGTCAAGAAGCAGGCAAGAGCTCTTTCCTCCCAACAGGCACAGGAGCCGCTCACCTGTGACTCCTATCATTGCTTCAGGTGCTCAGCAGCTCCAGAGAGTAGAGCTTTTGGGCACTAGAAGGTGCTGCCTACACAAAGTTATTATTCCATAGGAATCACTAGAAAAATGAAACTGCAAAAAACTTTTGTACAAAAAAAATACAGCAGAAGATGCCAGAAAGAGGGCTAAGTGAAACTGAAATCACCAATATTCTTTTTTTATTAAGGTATTATTGATATACACTCTTATGAAGGTTTCACATGAAAAAACAATGTGGTTACTACATTCATCCATATTAAAGAATGCTCCCCATACCCCATTGCACTCACTGTCCATCAGTGTAGTAAGATGCCACAGATTCACTATTTGCCTTCTCTGTGGTACACTGTCTTCCCCTTGACTACTCCACACCATGTGTACTAAACATAATACCTGTCAATCCCCTTCTCCCTCCCTCCCCACCTGCCCTCCCACACCCCATCCCTTTGGTAACCCCTAGTCCCTTCTTGGAGTCTGTGAGTCTGCTGCTATTTTGTTCCTTCAGTTTTGCTTCATTGTTATACTCCACAAATGAGGGAAATTATTTGGTACTTGTCTTTTTCTGCCTGACTTATTTCACTGAGCATAATATCCTCCAGCTCCATCAATGTTGTTGCAAATGGTAATATTTGTTTCTTTCTTATGGCTGAATAGTATTCCATTGTGTATATGTACCACATCTTCTCTATCCATTCATCTACTGATGATGGACACTTAGGTTCCTTCCATATTGTGGCTATTGTAAATAGTGCTGCAGTAAACATAGGAGTACACATGTCTTTTTGAATCAGAGAACTTGTATTCTTTGAGTAAATTAGTAGAGGTGGAATTCCCTGGTCAAATGGTATTTCTATTTTGAGTTTTTTAAGGAACCTTCATATTGCTTTCCACAATGGGTGAACTAGCTTACATTTCCAAAAGCAGTGTAGGAGGGTTTCCCTTCATCCGCATACTCGCCACCGTGTTGTTCTTAATCTTTTTGATGTTGGCCATCCTTACTGGTGTGAGGTGAAATCTCATTGTGGTTTTTATTTGTATTTCCCTGATAGTTAGTGATGTGGAGCATCTTTTCATGTGTCTGTTGGCCATCCGAATTTCTTCTTTGGAGAGTTGTCTCTTCATATCCTCTGCCCATTTTTTAATAGGGTTATTTGTTTTTTGGGTGTTGAAGAGTGTGAGTTCTTTATATATTTTGGATGTTAACCCCTTGTTGGATATGTCATTTACAAATATATTCTCCCATACTGTAGGATACCTTTTTGTTCTGTTGATGGTGTCCTTTGCTGTACAGAAGCTTTCTAGTTTGATGTAGTCCCATGTGTTCATTTTTTCTTTTGTTTCCCTTGCTTGAGGAGATGTGTTCAGGAAGAAGTTCCTCATGTTTATACTCAGGAGGTTTTTGCCTACATTGTCTTCTAAGAGTTTTATGGTTTCATGACTTACATTCAGGTCTTTGATCCATTTTGAGTTTACTTTTGTGTATGGGGTTAAACAATAATCCAGTTTCATTCTCTTGCATGTAGCTGTCCAGTTTTGCCAACACCAGTTGTTGAAGAGGCTGTCATTTCCCCATTGTATGTCCATAGCTCCTTTATCATATATTAATTGACCATATATGGTTGGGTTTATATCTGGGCTCTATAGTCTGTTCCATTGGTCTATTGTTCTGTTCTTGTGTGAAAAATCACCAATATTCTTGATAAAGATTTCAAAATAAAAACC